TTCTTCCCTTCCCTTCTCCTTCCTTCCTTCCTTTTTTTCTTTGAGACAGGGCCTTCCTATGTAGTTCAGGCTGGCCTTGAACTCACTATGTAGCTCAGGCTGGCCTTTACCTTGCTGTAATCCTCCTGCCTCAGCCTCCCAAGTTTTGGGATTGCAGGTGTGCACTAACACACCTGGCCTTCTTCTTATATTAAAACAAGATACTCTTTCCACTGCTTCCTTTAACACTTTATCTTGGAAGTTGCTCCAGATTTTTCCACTGTCCTTTGTTATAACTACATAGTGCTCCATTTTGCAGCAGTAGCATATTTTATTTTATTACAATGTTATGTATGGACATTTAGACCATTTGCAACATTCTGCAATTACAAACAATACCACCATAAGCTTTTCCTACACGTATGTTTTTGCATGTTGGAAGGATGACTAAAAGGTAACTTCCTACAAGAATGTTGACTCCAAAAGTTAGTAAATGTGTTAGACATCATCAAATTTCCTTCCAAAAGGTTCTAATTCTAGGAAGTAGAACACAGCTCAGACAACCTTATAAACCAGTAGCCATGGTCCCAAAGAATTAAAATTGAAGGATTTTCAAACTGTGTTATGCAAGGTGTCTGCACAGAGGGATGCATGCTAATGGACCACAGTGGTTGTGCTGACACACAGTCTTCATTTGGAGTGGTGTGGGCAGTAAGAAGTCCATTCAGCCCTGAGCACCTATTCAGTTGTAAAGGCTTCCTCCTCAAATGAGCTATGAGGGAGAACTTTCCTTGTATGGGGTGGGATGAAAGAGGGAGGCGACCTACGTGCATGGCTTTGCTGTGTGTGTCCCTATCTTTCCTCCTCTTCTTGTGAACCATGTGGATTTTGTTGTTGACATTTATTGTTTGTTTTTTGAGACAAGATCAGGCTGGCCCTGAACTCACTAACTCACCTTGATCCTCCTGCCTCAGCTGAGTGCTGGGATTACAGGCGTGTACCATCACACACAGCCTGACATTCATTGTTATCAATACATTTTCAGAGTCTGTATACTGTATTTTGAAAGAATATATCTCTACCCCTGGATCTAAAAGTGAGTTCCACGGCTCAGGATTAAGCTAACCCGCCCAGTCTTATTCCCTAGCTCATTGTTAATATTGCAGGTGTGGACACACAGCCCTAGAAGACCCAAAGTACAAAATATGTGTCTACCAAGAAAAGAAAGAAAGAAAGAAACAAACAAACAAACTAGGCTCACTCAATATACTGGCACACATTTGTAATCTGAGCACCCAGAAAGGCTAAGGGAGTGGGGTACAAGCTGGAGCCCAGCTCTGCACTTTCTTCTTCCTCCTCTGCTTTATTTTTCTCCTCCTCCTCCTCTGCCTCCCAAGTGCTGGAATTACAGGTGTGCACCACCACACCCAGCCAGCCTTGGCAATTTAGTAAGGCCCTGGTTCAAAATAAAAAAAAATAAAAGTAGTTTAGGGTGTGGATTAATGGGTTTGACAGTAACACAAAACAAAGAAACAAAGAACCGCTGGATTTGTGTTTCCCTAACAGAGAGTCTCCCTTACACTGACCTTGAAACCAGTCTTTTCTCTGGATTGCCAGCTGTGTACTCTGAAGTTGCCATTTTTTTTTTGTTTGTTTGTTTAAATGAGAGTTAGGTTAGCTGAGTGTGGTGGTGCACGCCTGTAATCCCAGCACTCAGGAGGCTGAGGCAGGAAGATTGCTGTGAGTTCGAGACCAGCCTGGGCTACGTAGTGAGTTCCAGGTCAGTCTCAACTACATAGTGAGACCCTGTGTCAAAAAAACAAAAACAAAAACACCCCAAAAAAGAGAGAATTAAGTTTTTGTGACTTGCAATCAAAAACATTTTCTTTTGTACTATGAGCAATACTGGTATTGCTTATGAAAAATATTTCACAGGTGTAAGCTGTTCTCTAGGCTTTTAAATCAAAACCAGATAATCCATGAGTAAAAAATATATACTTTTGCATGAAGCCTTTTCATTCATTACAGAGGGAGACTGTCATCTTGATATGGGGGCCAATATTCCTACAGCCACATATCACTTAGTGAAGGGCGCATGTTCTGAGAAGTGTGTTGCTGCATAGTTGTTACATAGCCTTTTTTTTTTTTTTTTGTACTGGGGATCAAACTCAGGACCTTTTGCTTTTGAGGCAGGTGCCGGAACCAGTGAGCTAAATTCCCAGCCCCTATGCAAACATCAGTGCACTTGCACCAGCTTGGTTGAAAAGAAATACTCTGCAGCAACACAGTCCTAACGTGCCGGCATTAGATGTGATTATGGACAAGAGCAGCAAGGAAGTTCTAACTAAAATGATCGCCAGCATCAGCTATGTCAGTCTTGTATTCTAGGTCTTCCCTCATGCACACCGTTGTGTACTAGAATACACCAAAGATAGTTTCCTGCAGGTTTTTAGCAGAGTCCACCAGTAAGGTAACATTCATTTTGTACTGACTTGGTCGTGTACCTTAATTTTAACAAGAATCTAACAAGATTTAGAACATGACCCTGTTTTCTACCTTAAAAAGAAAAGTTCCCAGACTAGAACTTCAACACTTTTAACTCCTCAAATTTTTTTCTCTCCTTCTCCCTCTTCTTCCACCTCCCCTCTTTTTCTGAGACAGGGTCTAACTATGGAGCCCAGGCTGACGTTGAACTTGTGGCAATTCTCCCACCTTATTCTTCTGAGTGCTGAGACTACTAGGATTACAGGCAAACCCCATGACGCCTAGACTCTTTTTTGGACCAGGGATCAAACTTGGGACCTTGTGCTTGCTAGGCAGGAGGCTGAACCACTGAGCTAAATCCCAGGCCCTTTGGCCTCATTCTTGATCCATTGCTTCTTTTTTTTTAGTTTTATTTCAATGTAACACAAGTAGGTGTTATTTTAAAAAGTCTTCTTCCATGAAAGAGTAAAGCAAAATTTCATAACAAATTAATTAAATAACATTAATTAAAACACTGTGTACCGTAATTTAAATAGAATGGCTAAAATGTTCGAGTACGAGTCACAGATAAAAAAAAAATCTCTTACAAAAAAGAAACAGATACTAGCATAAAACTTTCTTTTCAGTGAAGGTACAAGATCCCAACAATGAATGTAACTGTACTGTATCCCTAAAATGTACCAATAAACTCAATTAAAGCTGAAAAAAAAATAGCACCTTTGAAATAGTGGTGGTTCCAGGGTCCGGTTATCTATTGATCCATTGTTTCTTGTCAGAGTGGAAGAGATACCCTGTCCTTTCAAAAATTGTCTCCCATCGGTAACATTATACTGACACGTAACTGCAATTTACTCTGCAGCAAAAAAGATTCAAGAAGTAAATTATGTTCTGTGTCTGTTTACCTTTGTATAAGCAATGCTTATGTTACTCTACTTTTTTTTTTTCTTTTTTTGGAGACAGGGTTTCTCTATGTCGTTCACCCTGGCCTTGAACTTACAATATAGTCCAAGCTGATGGTGACTCTCCTGCCTCAGCCTCCTGAGTTTTGAGATCACAGGTGTGTACCATCACACCTAGCTGTTAGTCTACTTTTAACATTTGTACTTGGGTAAACACTTACATATGTATACAAATGTCACAATGCAGGATGCTGCTAGCTCAGGCTCAACATATTAAAATTATTTTGTGAAAAAAAATTAAGTTGCTGAGTGTAGTGTCGTGCACCTGTGATCCCAGCCCTCAAGAGGTTGAGGCAGGAGAATCTCTGAGAGTTTGAGACCAGCCTGGGCTACACAGTGTGTTCAAGGCCTGCCTGAACTACACAGTGAGACTGTCTCAAAAGATATATTAATTTTAAAAAGTTGATTCCCATACTTTCTTTTCAGGTCCAGACTCCATCAATGTCCTTTTTTTTTTTTTTTGGTACCTGGGATCAAACTCAGGATCTTGTGCTTGCCAGGCAGATGTGGAACCATTGAGCTACATCCTTGGTCCATCAAAATCCTTTCTGAGACCATGTTCATCTCCACATGCACTTTCCCATCTACATTTAAATATACCCCAGTCTTTACCTTTCAAAAAAATACAAAAACCCTCTTTTTGGTCCTAATTTTTTTAACCTATGTGTATTTTTAAAATATTATATTGCCTCTTTCCTTCATAGCCAGATTTCTTTAAGGAATTGTCTATACACATGGTCTTCACTTATTTCCTATTATTCTATCAGCCAGTTAAAATCTTCTCAACAAAGTACAATGGGCCAAAATTCAGCCTTGGTTTCCTCAGTAAGAGATAGTGATAATTACTGTACCTATATCATAGAACTGTAAAGATAAACTCTGCTGTTATGTATAAAGTACTTAAGACAGTGCCTGACACATACTAATAATATTAATAATAATTAATTCTTAATGACACAGCGGCAACAGTTAAAGATAAGAGAAAGAATTGGAAGACTGCCATCCTCACAATTTTGACCAAGAAAACAAGATACAGCTGCTGGAAAGTGAATTTTAGGAGCAGCTCCAGTAAATGACATCATGGGTTGTAAACTCCATTCAGGCTTGTCTCCTGTGTTGGGTGCCAGGTCTGGCCTATGGTGTATTCTATACACACACGAATAATACTACAGTATTATATATTTTATGTACATTGTATTCACATTACATATATAAAACATAAATTAGCCAAGAGTCAAAGAGTTCATCTACCCTCAAAAAAACCTTCGTAAATCCGCGGGCTATGACTATTTTTAAAGTTCTTTTAAATTCAGTGCACTTTAACCATAGAAGCTTTTAACCAAAGAATGAACAAAAGATGCTGCTTGCTAAGAAAATGTACTGCTTGATAGTTTAAAACTCAAGTACATGATTCCTATTTTTTCTAATAAAAACAAGCGAAGCGTACCACGGAAAATAAAAGTACTGGCTGTCTTCCGGTCTCAAGGAGAAGGAAGAGCACGCCGTCGGAGGGCGCTGACGTCACCGAGAGGGGACGCCGGCAGCCTCCTGCGCACGCGCGCCACCTTTCCGGTCGAGAGTCGGCGCGCTTGCGCAGTCGCGCGTCGCAGGACGTTGGCCGGCGCTCCTGACTGGCTGCGTCTCTTTCGCCGTCGGTAAATGGCTTTGGTGGCGGGAAAGTTGAGTCGTGCGACCAGCCTTCGGGGCGATGTGTAGTGACTTCCGTAGGGCTGAGTCTGGGACCGAGGTGAGAACCGCTGGGCGGGAGGGAGGGAGACGAGAGCACGGCCGCTACGGGCTAGGGTGCGTGGGACCCGGATTCCGGGAGGCCTTTCCGGGCTTCCCTGGGCCGGGCCCCCCTCTTTCTTGCACGCGCGAGTCGCCTTAAGGAGCGATATCTGAGGGGAGCTGCCGCGTGGAGTCATTCCTGCAGACCCGGGGAAAATAGGCTAAATTGCGCAGGCTAGGTTCGAACTTGTCATCCTCCTGCCTCAGCCTCCCAGAGTTCTGGGATTGCAGGTGTGCACCGCCACAGAAGCTCTAGAAACTTCTTGAACAAGGTTGCTTCACTTTCTCTCTAATCACCAGTCTCTGCTTGTGGCATCAACCCGTCACCATCCCAGAATACATTGAGCCACACGGGCCGTTTGATGCCCTGCAAGGATTTATTTGGGAAGTGAAAGAAATATTGATAATTTACTGTGTGTCAGCCTCTGGCCAAGGGACGAAAATACAAGCAAAACCAACAACTTCTGCCTTAAAGAATTAGTAAATGAGACAGCTTTAACATTTAAGAGTATGGTAAAAGTGTGCTGTCCAGTTAAGGGGCTGGCATTGTGGAAGACTAGTCGAGGGATGAGATAGCTGAAGTATTAAGGATCATTTGAAGTGGCTTGCCAAAGAAAATATGACATTCAAAGCAGAGGGAGAAGTAGCACTTGCATTGAGCTGGGGATCACTTGTTTAGGGGCACTGCAGGGAGTTCTGTGTAGTTGGACAAAAGGGAGTGAAGGAGACAGTGTTGAGAGGTGAGGAGGAAGCAGTCTCTAGAGACAGCAGACCTGTCAAGGGCCAGGTAGGAGATATTTCGAGTTTGCTGTCCATGCAATGTCTGTCACATTTGCTCAACTCTGTTCCAATATTTTATTTTTTGACACAGGTCCCAAGGTTGATCTTGAACTCACTCAAGCCCAGGCTGTCCTTCAGGCAATCCTGTCTCAGCGTTCCTAGTGCTGGGATTACAGGCATGCTGCACCATACCTGGCAATAAAATTTTTCTTTCCTTCCTTCCTTCCTAAAATTTTTCTTTCCTTCCTTCCTTCCTTCCTTCCGTCCGTCCGTCCGTCCGTCCCAGGGATTGAACGCTTGCTAGGCAGGTGCTGTGCCACTGAGCTAAGTCCCCAGCCACAAAAAAAACAAAAAAACAAATTCTATGGGTTCACTTTATTGTAAGCCAGAGAGTAAAAACCATATACTCACCCTCAGTTTAAAAAGAAGTATTTAAATACATCTTGCATTGAAAGAATTAATTTTTAGTCTGGGCATTTAGCTTGGTGGCACTGCACCTGCCTCCTAAACGGAAGGTCCTGAGTTCCATCCCTGATACTGAAAAAAAAAAAAAAAAAAAAAAAATCAGTTTTACCATGTCTTTATACAGCAGCAGTGAGATTTTTACTTTTATTATCCTATCAGATAATTGTTAAGTAATGGCATGTTCTGCATTGCACGCCTGTCATCCCTGCTTTTTTTTTTTTTTTCTTTTTATTGAGTTTATTGGTACAATCTAGATATACAGTACAGTTACATTCATTACTGGGATCTTGTACCTTTACATGACAGGTCTTGGTTCTCATTTTTTCCCCTTGTCCCTGCTCTCCCTTCACCCCCTCCAGCTATTTTAAGAGACTGAGTCAGGAGGAAGGATCACTGGAGCTCATTGAGTTTGAGACTAGAGACACCATCTCAAAAAAGTAAAAGTAATACACCTTGAGTTCTAAAATATTGAATAAGAAATTAGAAGTGTCTATCCAGGCATGGTTCTGATGCACAGCATATTGCTTTTTTGTGTTTAACCAGCCCTATTAAAGTGGCACATGCTTACAATAGAAAATCTCAATAATACTAAAATAAAAAGTAGGAAACTCCCATTCCCATTATCATTTCTCAGGGGAACCCTATATTTGTACAATTCCAGAAATTTTATTTATTTATTTTTGTACTAAGGATAGAGCCCAGGGCCTTCACACTGAGCTACATCCATAACCTTTTTTATTTTCTATTTTGATAAGCTGATAACTTGCCTAGGCTGGACTTGAACTTTCAGTCCTCTCTCACCCTCCGGGAGTACTGGGATTATAGATGTATGCCATCATGCCTGGCTTCCAGAAATTTTCTAATGACTTATTGTAGAGGCCAAAATGGAGAATAATGAACTTGAAGTTCAGAGACCTTGGTTCTAGTTGTGTCTTTGCCAAGAAGAAGCTTTGTGATTTGATATAAGTCCATTAAACCTATGCTTCTACTTTGTAAAATGATGGTGGAAAGTTGCTTTCTTGGTTCCTTTTCAGCCCTGCCTCTAGGAGGTGGCTTCTTATACTTTGTAGCCCTTGCACTAAATACAGTATCTGCATAATAAACATTATAAATACTGATAATGTTATCTGGTTTGCTTAGAAAGAAAGGATACTGGCTGGGTGTCTTGCACAGGCTTATAATCCCAGCCCTCAGGTGGCTGAGGCAGGAGAGTTATTCCAAGTTCAAGTTCATTGTGGGCTACGTAGTGAGTTCAAGCCCAGCTTGAACTATATAGTGAGAATCTTTTTGTCGTACCAGGGATCGAACTCAGGACCTTGCACTTGCCAGGCAGGCACAGCACCATTGAGTTAGATCTCTGGCCCAGGCCAGCTTCTTTCCGGAGGTAACTATTAAATAAGACAATATTTAGTATTTATTTAAAAATAGTAATTTGCCAGGCATGGTGGTACATACCTGTAATCTTAGCATTCAGGAGACAAGGCTTGCAAGCCTCAGTACAGCTTGAGATATATAACAAGTTCCAAGCCAGACTGAAATGCAAAATAAGACCTTGTCTCTAAAAAAAGAAAACAAGAAAGAATAGTAATTGTTTTTTTGTGTGTAATCACAGGCTTTTAGAACAATGCTTATTCCTTTCTTACCCAGAATAGAATCCATGTTCCATCATTACAGTTATTTCTCTATAAAAGCCATCAATTTCCTTGCCTCTTTTTGCCTGTAACCTACTTCACCTATCCATGGTTAAACTCAACTGTCTGCTCTCATTCCCCTGTCCATTCATCTGGCTAATACTAGACAAAAGTCACAGATAAACTGATTTCACTTTAAATTTATAATCATCAACTTAACATGGGCACCCAGTCCAACCGTATTTCCCTAGTCATTCACTTCCTACAGAACATGTCTTCCAATCCACCCATATCCCTGAATTGCAGGTGCATATATTTATTTTTATCTTAATATAGCTACATGTATATTTAGTGGGCATCCCAAACTTAACATGCTCATCCTTGACTGAATCTGGAATCCAGGGAAATGGAAGAAGCATTTATTAGAAAAGAGTAACATAGCCAGGCAGCGGGGAGCACATGTATAATTCCAGTACTGAGATCTGGCTGAGGTAGAAGGACAGAGTTTGAGACTAGCCTGGACCACACAGCAAGACCCTGTTAGTAGTGTTTTTTTTTTTTGCTACTGGGGATTGAACTCAAGACTTTGCACTTGCAAAGCAGGCGGGGACACCACTGAGCTAAATCCCCAGCCCAGTAGTGTATGTTTTAATGAATGTGACAATTGTAATATGATTATGGAGATAATCCCCTTTTTTTGGTAATTTATTAAAATATTTGGGAGGCAGTGGTTCAGAGGGAAAAAAAGTTAAAGTAAACTTGATAGCATTCGTGAATCTAGGTGTATGGTGTTCATTGTTCAGGTGTAATATTGTCTCTGTAGGTTTGAAGTTTTTAAAAACAAGTAGGGAGAAGGTAATGTGTCCTAAACTGATGTCTTGATGTCCCACCATTCACAAACAAACACACCCCAACCTGCTGCTATTCAAATCTTTACCACTTTTTTTTTTTTTTTTTTTTGACAAGTTCTCACTGTGTAGTCTAGGCTGGCCTTGAACTCATTGTATACCCTAGGCTGGCATCAAACTCAAAGCAATCCTCCTGCCTCAGCCTCCCAAGTACTGGGACTACAGGAATGCACCACCATGCCTGGCCTTGCCCCTTCTTAAAGGGCAACTTTATTCTGCCTATGGCAGAAGCCAGACCCCACAGAGACATCCTCAAATCCACCATGCTCACATCTCAGATTGGTTCACACTGAATTCATCAGCAGAGTTTGTCTGGTCTTTCAAAGAATGTCAGGAGTCAGACCACTTTCCCTATCTTTACTGCAGCCATTCCCAGTCACCATCACTTTAAAGGTTTATTCCTTTACCACAGTGTCTACAACAGTATTTAGCCCACAGTATTTTACTGTGCGAACCACCAAACTGATCTCTGCTTCCAGCCTTCCCACCCTAGAGTACTTTCCACAGAGTTGAGAGCAATCCATTTAAACATGAGGAGAGCCTTGTGGCACACCCCTGAAATTCTAGCCCCTCCGGAGGCTGAGGGAGGAGGATTGCAAGTTCAAGGCTAGCCTGGACAATTTAGCAAGCCCTGCTCTCAAAAAAGGCTTGGGGTGTAGCTCAGTGATTGAATTTTGCTTAGCATGCATGAGGCCCTGGATTCAATTTCCAGTGCTGCAAACAGAAAACCAAAAATATAAATAGACTATTGCTCAAAGCTTTCAAAATCCCTGTCATTTCATAATTTGCTCTTCAAGCCCACCCAGAGATCTCTGCTCTCACCTCTCCTTTTTGCCCTTATATCCCATACTCCTCCATTCTTCACACACTGTTCTGTGATGTACCAATAAGCTCCAGCCTTGACTCCTTGGCACTGGCTGTTCCCTGCACAGACTGTTCTCCCTCAGGCATTCCCAAGACTCCCTTCCCCAGCCTCAGTTTATACTCAGATGCCAACACCTTTGAGCATCCTTTCCTGACAATGCAGTGTAAAGCAGTTCTTCCTGCTGCCAGTCTTTATTCCTTCACCCTGCTGGTGTGGCTGCTGCTGCTACCCACTCAACACTACATCATTGTTACCATCCCATCACTGCCATTTAGTGTGCATGAGAGCATATGTTGGCTATTGGGTTGCT